AATTACCTTTCCGTATGTACCGTAATATTTGATAAAGAGAAACCAATCGTTGAGATATTGTCAAAAGTCTAACACTGCTTCTTGACGCCAAACTCGGCCTACGGATTCTAAACTCGGCCTAACGCATTGAAACGCTATTGAAACGCCAATGAATTCACTTCGGCCTATCGGATGAAGATAAAAATTGATTCGGTCGGAGCGCTTCTTTTGTTTTTGGGAATAATGGGTGCAAACCTTCATATCACGCGATCTCATTGACTTCGTTCCGTAGCTTAATAACTAAAGTGTCGTACCAAATGCATAATTGACTTGTTAACTCTGAAATCATGGATTTATTTGAAGTTTTCTGCTCGATAGGCCCAAAATGGGCGATTAGGCCGAAGTAGTTCTCTACCCTAAATGCTTTTCAAGATTTCTTTCCTATACCTCAACGTGCAAAATTTAAGACCATCATCATTTTTCTATTTCTCCTCTTCGCCACGAGCGCTATCGTTTTATCGCCAATCACCATGTGGTAAGTGGTGGTGTTCTCTAGTACACAATGAAAGGCTGCCTGCAAGCAGCGAGCTGCAGCCCATGCTCATAGAAGGAGGAAGATGTCGCACCGGTCTTCATCGGAATCAGTAGCTCTTCGTGAGTCGCTGTAGGCCATCTATGTCAAGCGCGTCATACTAAAGAGTATAAACAGAGAGAACCTCGCTCAAATTCCTATTCCTACACAAAACAAAAACTCCTGCTGCAGTTAACAAATAAGATTTATTAGTCCTACGTCACCATTGCGGACAATCCCATAGGGCCTGTCCCTTGTAGTTTTATATATTTTTCACATTATATTAAAATAATATATGGACGAGGCTTCAGCCCTATAGCCCCCCCTGGCTATGGGCCTCGGGCTGTACCTATTTGTTGTGCATGAACAATTTATGTTTGCAGAAATGTCTAACAGAATTATTAGAGATCATAAAACCATCGAGTTTTTATGAAAGATCAGCCTCGTTTCACTTCCGTAGGAACTAGAGTGTAGACCCAATTTGTAGCCTTCTAAACACAATCCGCACTTTACCCCTCTTTTCAAGCAGGACTTCATACAAAATAGAATGTTTCTACAACAAATGACTTCTTTGGCTTTTTGTATTGTTTCTATTTGGTTTTTAACTCTTTATTTGTTCCAAATTCAAAATAAATTACATTTCATATTAACCTAGGTGCTCCAGCTATAATTTTTAAGATATATATCTAAGTGTTTTACTTTTTTCCTGCCTTGGACATTCAGTATTTGACAGTATTGACTAAAAACTAAAACTATATCTTATCTAAGTATAAAGGGAAATAATCGTTGCAATTGAAGATTGCAACGATTTTTCCCTGAAATTGTTAATTATTTTGTTGGACATTAATCAATTTGTTGGACATTACCAGAGCTGAGCCAAAAAGCTGAGCACGTTTCTTCGGGACCTACTAGTCTTAGAGTTACCTATATGGTGGTACTCTCTTCGGTCCCAAGCTATTCGATGCACCGGGAATCGAACCCAGCCATTTCCAGCATGATCTTGCTTTGTAGCTGCTCCTTATCGACTGAGCTAAGGGAGGCCCCAAACATCTACTCTACTACTTGTTGAACTCAAATAATAGAAGTAATGGAAGGGTGATGATTTAATGAACTTCAAGCATAGAAATAAAAAAACCTAAGTAGAGTAGACTTAGGTTTTTATGTCTCTGCTTGTTAAAAAATGATTGCACGTTGCCTTGAAGTTCATTAAATCATCACCATTCCATTACTTCTATTATTTGAGTTGGTTGGTTTATTTTGATAGTGAGCAAATCTCAAGGATGTGCGCTGATCTAAAATCGTTAACGCCAGAGCACTGAAAGCACGTTCCACTGATACTTGCATCGATGGAACGGCCTAAATTACAGCAGCTGCTTCAAAGAGATCCTTTTGCATGATTTTCTTCTGTACCCAGTACTCCCAAACGTTGACATGGTGTGGTTGTCGCAATCCAACATCCAACACACTTAACTGTTCTGGAAGCGTTTTGTTTGGGATACATTTCGGGTCTCCGCTTGAACCTGCTAGACAGCCTCCAAACATGTCCGCTAAAAAACTGTCCAGTGCAAGGTCTGAAACCCGTGCGAATGTATTTATGATGAATTTCTAAAAGGTAGAAGTTAATAGGTTGACAATTTAATAAAAATAAAATTTATTAAACAATCCTATATGAAAAGGCACTATAGATTCATTCAAATACTCTCATTCTGATAAACAAAAATCATATTGATTCTTGAATGTTGTTATTCAAAAACCAAACATTGTTCTTTCAAACCAACATATTATTTTTTAGCATCTAACACACCAACCACTTTGCTCGATGAATGCCGTTCATTGACTGTTTTTTCGGACATTCCCAACCCAAAACGAAAAAAGGAACCTGAATGAAATCAAAATGGGAATGAAACCAGAGCGAAATGGAGCGACTGTACGGGAGAGGATTTTGAAGAAGAGAAAGTGGGAATGCTTTTTGGTATCTATTCGCTTTACTGTGCATCGGTATGTATGAATGCAAAGCGTAGTGTGGGGGTATTGAATGGTATACAAAGTACCGCACATAAGGGAGTGGTGAAATTGAATTCATACTGCTGCTGCCGTTCGCTAGAAAAAAGGAACGATCAGATGCCCTGTGCACCCCTCTAAACATAGGAAAATCCACGAATCCCTCATTTTATCTGTCAAACTTTCATAGCGAATCAAAACAAACATAGTCTAGTACTAGAGTTTCGACTAGAATGGGGTACGTTAATCGATTTGCTTGGGATCAATAGGCTTGTCAAGTAGTGACCAATTTAAAATCTTCAGTTTCCACCGGTTGTCTCATTTACGTGTGTGTGAACAAAAACTGCAAAAAAATTTCCTCCTTCACTTTCGTCTGTAAAATTTGGCACGATACCTTGGCCCGGTACCTTAACCCGGTACCTTGGCCCGGTGTCGCACGGTGCGCACCGAAATTCTCCAGCACGGCACCATTCAAAACAGAACGGCTCTTCGCATCGGTGGCATTGGCATCATTGGAGATAGTCCATTCAAAAATTTATATTTTTTTCGTTTTTTTGCCTTGAACTGCGCAATACGAAAGCGACAATTCTAGGGCTACTTTCCAGTTAAATTTCACTGTGCAATGGTCGAATGAAACTCAGCCTTGAACCAAGCAACCTTGATCTTTAATATTATTTTAATTACACACCATAAAGGTATCGCTATCAAAAATTAACACCCTACTTTATTCAACTACTTCATTGATTTCATACAAACACGTTGTAGTTTGGATACAGCTGAAAGGTGTCCACAGATGTCCACCACGACAATATAAGAAGGAATTAGATTTAGGAAATAGAAACTAAAAATGACATTAAATGCATATCGGAAGCTTTCAGTTTAAAACCATCGTTTGCTTTAATTCTTAAACGGACGATGAAACCGACTCAAAAGTCAATTGATTTCGACTAAATTTTATCAAAAGTGGATTAGCTCAAATGTTTGTTGAATTTTCCGAGATTTACACCCATAGCCTGAGTTCCATTAGGCGAATTTTAGCTTAAATTTGACAGATGGATATTTTTTTGAAATAACCCTACCATTGCACCAGTCTTATTTCTGACGACACACAAGGATTCAATGTTGACAAACACCTTCTCCAAAATCGGTGGCTCGACAACAGAGGGATTTACGATCATTCTAATTTATGTTCGAAGTGTTAACTTTAAGTGAGAATTAACCAAACGGAGCACAGCCTTAGTCTCGGAATTATCTTGTCGATATTTGCACATCCGAATGCTGGGCAACAAATTATGCTTCATATTCCGGTGGTTTTCCACTGATGGTTCAGTGGTACCTTATTTGCAGTTTTTACGACATTCGTATCACGTTTTCGCAATCAGCTGGCGTCACAATTTTCTGACACTGCCAGAAAATAGTGTCATAAAAAAGTAAATTTATCCAGATTAATTCTTCATTGTCAAGTGACTTCAATCACGTGATAAAAAATGGTGAATATTCTATTTATAGCATTCCTGTATCTCTTAATACAATAAAATAAAACGGAAAATTCCACGTTGCCCATTCGCCCCGACTGGTTAGACCATGTTGTTGGCACATAGGCTACTTATTGTTTAACCAGAAGCATTTTTATCTATTTCGGTAAACAACACATGGTTCGTATTCATCTTCCTGTAATCATATTTTTTGGGTGGCGAAATAGCCTTGTCCCGTCTGTGGGAAGTTTGTTGTTATGATTTAACGGAATGTTTCCGAAGCTAAGTAGGGGTAGGAGTTGACTTTCCATAAATTACCGCCGAGTTTATCTTAAGCGAAAAGCAAACGGGCGCCCGCGATTAATTGGCTCTTGTTTTCACGACATATATAAGTGTATTGCGAATGCGATGTGCTGTTTGAACGAGATACGGATTCTGTGGGTAGCCTGTACCTACAGCCTTCAACCGCAGCGTGTGTGATGAAGACGAATCATCTTTCACAGCGTCCTCATATGATACCTTCCTAGATTGATCGCTATCACAGAAAGTGGTCTTTGAAGTTCAACGTGATACAACTGTCTTGTGTATTCGAGTTGCTCGATTTGCACTACTGTTTTATTTTCTTCGATATAATAAACGTCCACGGAGGCGTGCTCAGGTCAGGGTACTGCTTTTGTCAGTCTCGACCTCCTTTCCCCGCGTCCTTAGACCATTCATAATCCGGCTCTTGCCCATGTGACCAAAGTGGAATCATAACACTGAGAATAAACGCGTCGTTGATAACGGATGTCACAAATTAAGGCAACCGCGCAAATGCGAGTCATTGCCGCAATGTAGAAAAACGGTAGCATCTTCATCTCCACCAACGACAGTCAGTAGCTTGGTCGCAGCACTCGGTAGTTTACGAGCATCGTTTTCGTCGTCGTCGTCGTTGTGAAGGTTAATCTCAAGTGGTTTTGATGTTCATTTTCTAGAATCTAGATCAATAGTGGATCGCGAGGTATCAGTTTAACGTACGCTCAAACGGCAGGAAGCGTTTGGTGGTGAGAGGAAAGTGGGGAGTGACAGAAGCGAGTGGTTCGAGTGGAAAAGTGAAAAATGGGAGTGGACAATGAAAAATCCGAAAAAGCCGAAGAAATGGATACTTGTTCGGAAGCAGTCGGTGACAGCGAGGAGCTCACCAAGTGGGGGAAATTTTGCCAACGCCATGGGATTAATCCGAACTTGATTATGCTGAAAGTTACGCTGTTTGTCATGTATGGAGGTGAGTAATTGTTGTGACTTTAGTATTTTCAGATGTTTGGCCTAACGCCACGTAACGCCCCAAGGATATAACTTTAAATACTTAAGTTTGATGAATTAGTAGCAAATTTGCCATAGCCCCCATTATTTCGATAATTTGTATGTTCATTTGCTGTCACTTGGGGTATTTGCATATATTTGAGTTTGACATAGTGCTGAATGCAGGACCGTTTTAGGTACTCCTTGGGGTTCTGTGTATTGTTAAATGAAGGTCCCGTAACGATTTGTACTAATTTTCAAACTTTCATAGACATAAGAAAATTGGCTCTAAAATTATCACAGGGGGGTAAAATGAACAAGTTTTAGCGATTAAATTATCAGAATGTAAATGCAATCAATTAAGAGGATAGAAGACGCATTGATTGATTGATCTGTATGATACATTGTTAGATATTTTGAAAAGAAAGTGCTTATAAATACAAGTGTTTATTTTACCCCTACTTCCATAATCTACATGACAGCTTAGGCAGTACTATGGGATCGTCCATTAATTATGTCACACTTTTAGGGGGAGGGAGGGTTTTGGAAACTGTGACGCGCCATACAAAAAAAAAATAAGGTTCATACAAAAAATATGACAAAGAGGGGGGATGGCGGGTTGAAAATGGGCCAAATTTGCGTGACATAATTAATGGACCTTCCCTATACAATAATCGTGTAAATGTAATCCATAACCACTCCCCAAGTTGATGATAATAAATAAAGGTATGTAGGGTTTTTAGGCCTAGCAGTTCAATACTGAATTCCAAAATAGTGCCAGACATCATTTCAAGAACAACATGTGAAAAGGGCATACAAACCTTTTGTAAACAAACATTCTTATGCCCTTTTCTCGCCACCCATATGACACCAACGCAAACCATCAACATCGCCGGATAGGGGAAGGTTTCCCCTTCCCGATGATGTTGTTCGTTTGCGTGGGCGACCCTCGGTTGGCGAGAAGAGGACCTACAAAGGTTTGTTTACAAAAAGCTCATATGCCCTTTTCACATGTGGCTCTTGATTTTTGGTCGCTACACATCGTGCTCGTTTAGAAAATACTTACATTCAAGCGTATCAGATGCTTTCCTTGGCTGCCAAATTAATGTTAAATATCAATTTCACTTTTCCGGAATTTATCATATCGATCATGTATAGAACTTTGTCAAATACTGCAACTTTGATCAGGATCTCAAGATCAAGCCTACACAGGTGACCCCAATCCCACCATAATCCGAATGGGAAATTGAATAGATCATTTCCTTACAGTAAATTGATTTCTACATCTTAATAGCAATGGGAAATCCAAATTTACCAAACGTTCATATTCAGCAAAAATCCACTTGCTTTTTGAAGATACAAAACACCTTTCGCACGTTTTTTCGCATCATGTAAACAACCAAAAAGCAGTGCCTACCGCGGAGCGCTTTATTCAATTCAAGACCAACAATTGAAATGGCCTCTACTCCATTTTGTAAACAAACCTTGTAAGGCAATTTTCTCGCGAACCGAAGTCCACCAAGGCAAACCAACAGAATGAACAGGTAGGGGGGATTCTACTGTACCCGATTGTGGTTTCGGTTCGCGAATGTACGTTTCGGTTTGTTCAATTGATGAATTTACGCGAAACTGCACCAGTGCATGCGACACCTAGGTTTGAAATCTAAAAACACAAAAGTGATGATGTACACACTTAGTTTTTTCTACCGAGCTCGGCAGTGCAAATCTCGGCAAAAAAAGTTTCATTGAGATCTCAGCAAAAGTGACATTTGATTGCTGAGTCTCGGATAATACTTAGCTAAATCTCAGCAAACAAATGAAATGTTTGCTGAGATCTCAGTTAAACTTGTTTTGCCGAGATTTGCACAGCCGAGCTCGGTAGAAAAAACTAAGTATTAACTAAAAAATATTCCATACGATTTGACAGGTAGCAAAACGTCATTATCAATTTCACATCATTTCCATCTGCTGGTCGACCGTAACGTAAATTCATATATTGTAGTGGTCATATGTCAAGTATATAGGATCTAATTTCCGTCATACTAAGCTCAACCAGAAATTTATCATTCTTTTATACCACAAACAGACATACAACTTAGTACCAACAATCAATATGAAACTAACGATTTTAAATTGGCTCACTACTTGACTAGCCTATTGGTCCCAAGCAAACGATTAACGTATCCCATTCTAGTCGAAATTCTAGTACTACGCAATGTTTGTTTTGATTCGCTATGAAAGTTTGACAGATAAAATGAGGGGTTATTGGTTTTTCCTATGTTTCGAGGGGTGAATCGATTAGTTTGGGACCGAAGAGAGTACCAGAGCTGAGCCAAAAAGTAGAGCACGTTTCTTCGGGACCTACTAGTCTTAGAGTTACCTCTATGTTAGTACCGTGGTACCAACAATCAATACGAAACTAACGATTTTAAATTGGCTCACCACTTTAGTAGCCTATTGGTCCCAAGCAAACGATTAACGTACCCTATTCTAGTTGAAATTCTATTACTACACTATGTTTGTTTTAATTCGCTATGAAAGTTTGACAGATAACATCAGGGGTGTGTGGATTCATGCAGAACATGCAGGGGTGAGTGAAATAGCTTGGGACTGCTTGGGACCGTTGTTCTGGTACTGAGTGAGCCAAAAATAATAATGATTTTCTTCGGGACCCAGTGGTCTTAGAGTTACCTCTATGGTAGTACCATAGAGGTAACTCTAAGACTAGAAGGTCCTGAAATAACGTGCTCAACTTTTTGGCTCAGCTCTGGTACTCTCTTCGGTCTCAAGCTAATCGATTCACCCCTCGAAACATAGGAAAAACCAATAACCCCTCATTTTATCTGTCAAACTTTCATAGCGAATCAAAACAAACATTGCGTAGTACTAGAATTTCGACAAGAATAGGGTACGTTAATCGTTTGGTCGAGTCATCATAAACGAATACCACTTGGTTGCACATCATTCTGTTTGAACCTGAAAAGATATAAAACAGCGCTGTTTTCCTAACTCTGCTCATTACCGCTTCGGACGGCGTGGCACTAGGTCTTGCAGCAAGTCAGTGGCTAAAGGTGGATCACGGTGTGACCATGACCAGCACAATGAGGAACGAGACTTGGAAAATTATGTATGTAAAACCCCCTCCCCCCTTAACAACAACCTTAAAAAGACATGGACTTTGACGATCACTTTTTTCTGAGAAATAAACTTTAAGCAAACCACAATTAGGGGCTGTTCATTGTCTACGTACATTTTGAGATTCTTGACCACTCCCCCCTGCGTAGACAATTGTCCATATATTTTTTTTTAATATGAATGGGCTGTGGATAATTGACTCCTCCCCCCCTTAAGCTCTGTCTACATAGTTTATGAACAGCCCCTTATAAATAAAACATTTTTTTACACGCAGAGCCAAAATTAAAAAAAAAAATGCTTAAGAGGAGACATACATTTGATGAATTACCAACAACTGACTGTAAAACATATCTGGTACCTCTTCTATATATGCAATTAGATTAACATCCAAAGTCCATCCTTTTATTCCGTTGTGCCCCCCCCCCCCCATTCATAGTAATAAATATTAGAGTCGGTGTATATAATGAGTCACGCCAAGAGTGAAGCCAAGTCTACCTATTGAACTGTCAAAGCGGATACCTATCGTGCAAAGTAAATAAACATTACGATGCTATGAAAGCTTCACGAAAGGTATTGCAATAAAATATAAAATATAATCGAAGAAATGAGCATAAACACGCAGTGAGCGTTAAATTGTCATGGGATACGCTCGGTAATGATTAGTAATGAGAATTTCTACTATTTTTGTTAAGATAATTTGACAAAATCACTGATATAATGATTTACTACAGCCGCAGTATTTTTTCTCTCGCTAGAAGTCAGTTGAAGTTGTTGTAGAAGTCCTCTGTTGCCAAGTGAAAAGAATTGGAATCTTTCGAAAACCGTGATGCGAGTTCAACTGTTTTTCTCTTGGCGTGACTCATTATACACCGACTCTAATAAATATAATAGTCAAAAATGCATGACAAACATCAATTTTGCGTGGTTCTACGTCATACTGCGGTCGTTTTTTTTTTTTTTTTTTTTTTTTTTTTTTTTTTAATTATAGTCACTTTAACACTCTTGGGTCATTCGTGACTTGTCCGGGGGTGAGATTTGAACTCGTGACTTTGGCGTGAGAGGTATGGATGCTAACCACTACGCCGGGGTCGCCCCCATACTGCGGTCGTGTCTAGGACACAACCCTTTTTTTTTTTTTTGTAACTTGATCCCATCGCACAAGATTTTTGATTGAAAATTGTCCTCTATTTATTATGAAGCCAAACACAAAATCTAACATAATTATTCAGAATATTCGTGGTCAACACGCCAGCAGTAACACGGTTTATCATGCGCTTTACGGCCATTATTTTCTCGGGATATCGAAGAAGGATCTTGGTATCATTTATGGAAAATGCCGATCAACTATTAACGAGTGGTTCTTCAAGTACGAGTGAGATGGAATTTTCCGAAGGAAGCAGCACCTGCAGGTGTTTAAGAAATTCAGCACCGATATGCGTGCTTGGCTTGTCAACCTATATCAAAACGAGTCTTTCTTGTTTTTGGACGAACCGAAACAGCGATTCCAACAGCGATTTCTGCTATCGATTAGTGTGTCATCTATTTGCACAATATTGCATGAATCTGGATTGACCTGGAAGACTATCGAAAGAAGGGCTATCCAGATCAGAGAGGATGAGATAGTCCGGTTTGTTGAGGAAATGCTTGCAGTTCCATGGGACTTGATTAACCTGGTTTCCCTGGACGAGGATAGTATTGACAATAAGAATATGCTGCGCAAAAAAGGCTACGGAGTTGTTGGCCAGAAACTTATGTATCACGGGAAATTCTATAGAAAGCCTAGGGTTTCTTTCTTATGTTTTCTAGGAATAAATGGCATGCTAGATAGTTTCTGGACGGAAGGGACAT